GGATAGTTGTCTCACAGACTAGCGTTTTCGCACCGGAACGACGGATGCTCATCAACCCACCATCAATACGATGCTCCACACGAACACAGTAAGCACAAGCGGCATCAAACGCACAAGCCATTATTGCATGAAGATAAATATTGAACGGGGCATGATCTAAGACACAGCCTTGCTTCACACCAGAGACAACTGGAAAGTCATCTGAGGTTTGTCCACTCAGCTGCACCCTCGCCCGCATATCACTGTGCAGACATTCAGTTAAAATTGCAAACTTACGCGGGCAACTGTGCCTAACCAACACCAGCCACAGTGCCTCGCGGTTCACCATATCAAATGTCTTGGTGAAATCAACAAAAAGCGAGTACAGTGGCTGGTGTCGTTGTCTGCACTTCTCCTGCAACTGACGTGCCGAAAACACCGAATATATGGTGCTGCGACTCGAACGGAATCCGCATTGCTCTTCCGCCACGTTAGTTTCTACAACTTGACTGACGAGGCGGTTGAGCAGGATTCGGGCAATCACCATGCCCACGCAGCGCCTGCTGTCATCTCTAATCAAGGTATTTTAGGAGCCTTTCGTGTGTAATTTCTGATCAAGCATGAACAGCTGTCAGTGGCTTGTCCTGTGTTATATTCCTTCATTCCAATTCATTCCTGCATGATGGGTTCCAAACTCCACTCTGTTTCGATACGTTGTGAACGCTAATCGCCAGTTTTGACCCTTATAACTTGTAAGCAATCGCGCGCCACTTTACCTGTTCGTTTGACCAATGCCTCAATGCTAGTTTATACTCGACTGCATAAGTCGACTGGACGAATGACTGTCTGACTAATTGAACAACGTTAGAGGTGTTATCTACACCATTTTCGGCCAAATTATCGCTTTTGGCAACAATTAATGTGAACGGCAAAAGAGTTGCACTGAGGGTCAAACAAGTTGAGTCCTCACTCAGTTAGTTTGCGTTTGCTGCTCACTTGCGCAGGTGTGCATGTATAGCCCGGCCTCTTCAGTCATTAGGGCCTCAGACCCACTAAGTGATAGAGGTGCAGCTTGGACGCTTCAGCTCTTCTCTGGTACAGTGTCGGTGCCCTATGCATCATGTGGGCCTATGTTTCTCTGTCCAGGGAAGCGATCTCACCAGTTGCAACAGGAGTAGTGCTTTGGACGTCGATTGCATCAGTATTACAAGCCACAGCGAAATAAGTTTGCCCTTGTGATTTTTTACAGTGCAGTCCACCTAAATGCAATGGTTGGCTTGTATGTTCGGCATTCGATGGAGGTGAAGAACGTCATAGTAGTAGCGTACGAGGAAGGAGACGATTGTAATCAGGTCGCTTGCACACTGAAAGTGAACGTGAAAACTTACTGCAGCTGGATACAGGCGTCCGAATTGATGGAACCGGTGGGGCAGCACGGGGGAATCCGTCGCAGACCACTGGGAGAAAGCCACGTCTACTCTCTGGTGGAGTGGGTTTCTGCGGAGCCTACCGTTACACTTGAACTCCTTCGTTTTCGGTCGCAGGCGGAGTTCGAAATTTCAGTAAGTACCAGTTCCGTCTCACAATACTTGGATGGTAGACTGATTACAATTAAGAAACTGCACACCATTCAGTAGTCCATGAACACACTGGAGAACGAAAAGCGACGCAGGCCATTCGTTTTACAATTCTTGGATAACGAGGTAGAAGGAAGGCAACCGGTGTCGATTGAAGTGCTCAGCTTCAACTTATTTTGCTCCCGCACTCGTGCGCGCTCAGTACGTAGTAGTCGAGCGCCGTGTACAGTGGCTAACAGCCGAGGACCGAATGTTCATCATGTCGGCGCCATGACAACCAACGGCTTGATAGCGTGTTCGGTTCTGAGAGGAAGTTACAATAGGCAAAGGTGCGATCAGCGACTGCGACGATTGCTTCATACCAACGGAGCAGGGTTTGTGGAAAGGCGCCTTTTGATTTGCAGCGACGCGCTTTGTCACATGCATCTGGAACACGTTTTCATGGAGGAGGCGTACCGCTCTGGGAGACTACTACGCCTTGCGCCATACTCTCCAGCACTCAATCCAATCGAGGGCATCTGGAGCATAATAAAGGCTCATGTAAAACAGACAGTGCTTAATGACTGGTCGCGGATGGCTAATCAAATGTGCATAGGTAGTTAGAGACATGTTTTTTTACTGATGATTTTGTCATGAAACTTGTTTTGCGACTATTTGATGACACAGTCCTCTTACTAATATTTACGCCCGTAAAATCCCATTTTACTCCTTTGAGGGTAATTACCCCCAGGTTAGGAACCCCTGACCTAGGTCACTCACTCACGCTCCGCTCCGCTACATACACGCGCCCTGACGATGTCACCTCGAGTGGTGACGGAACGTTTGCAGCCAAACTGTTGAGCTCAGCAAATAATCAGACCACTAATTGACTGCTGAATTCGTGGCGGTTCCTCTGGTAACTGCCGCTAATGGCCCTGGGGTTATTTTTCCTTCGGGAATCAATTTTTAATTTTTTTCTAAATGTGTTAACTTGTTACTATTATTATTATAGTGGAGGCAAGGGTCGAGTTAAATGGTTCCACCGCACTTTAACACACGTATCGTTGGGCATTAACTGAACCTATTCGGTTTAGTGGGTTACTGCTAGTGAGTGTTTTACTCCACAATTGCCACAGATTCCCACTCAGGCGACTGTGCGGATCGTATCGAGATCGATTTTCTGACCTCAAATTATTAACCTTTCCAGTACCTTTTGTTCTGCTAACTTTTGTATGTTATTGCACTGTCTGGCACAATGAACCACGGCGGTGCATACATAGCCATGCTACTTTTGGGTCCTGTCTCGTCTGAGTCATCAGTTACGTCGTGAGTTTAAAGCTTGGTTAGAACATTTGATGGGTTTGCATGCAACTAGGCGCATGCGGTCGCTTCTTCAATACTATGGTGGGTTTAGATTAAAAAGCGCGATGTCTTCGTGAGCACAAACCGGCAGAGCACAAATCGTTCTGGTTTCCCGGCAGATTTTATACGTTGGTAAACGACGGTAATTTGTTTTGGACACAGCGGAGGTATCATCACCATCTATAGTGATTGTGCGAATCTGATCTGGCAGTAACAGTGTCTAGCGCCCTCTAATGTGCTACCGGCGGTCGGTCTGATTTTCTTCTGTAAATGCACTAATGCTCAACTCTAGTTTCTATTAAGAAGTTTACTTAAAAGATGGTGATTTTAAATTTATGTCACGCTATTCGCATCTACAGTCATGAAGTAATGCTCGGTTTACCTTAACTTTCATTACTCAGTCAGACATGTTTTCCATCCACCGTCCGGTAGCGCAGGCGCACACCACGGGAATCAGGGTACTAACAAGCGCAACACAGGGTTCAGTAATCTGTGTTCACTGGTGTGACGACGGTGCTGAGCGTTTCAGTTTCTTTTCCAGCTCCAAAATTAGCGGCGAACTAGCTCATTGCTCACACGGTGTTCCTACCAGATACGAGTTAAACCTTAGAGGTACCGATGTCGAGCGCAGCTAGTTTCTGCGCCAGTCTATATGGCGTGCTATGGACATACAAATATGCACTAGGGTTGAACAGACGGCATCCTTGTTGACACTAATCTTCAGGGTGAAAGTGATGTCGCGCCATCGCCATACGCGACGAAGTTGAGTAAAAGCGTCTTGGGCTTTCTCTATGCTATTGATGAGTTCATTCTCTATTCCACAGGCGTTGATGTAGCTGGCTATGCGGTTGAATTTATTTATGACATCCAACTTTCCCCACCACAGGTCAGCGCAAGACGTGATTCCTGTCAATCTTGGGGAAGCCTATGAATTTTGAAAATACAGGTCCCAACCCTCAGCGACTGACAGTCAGTGTCAATCTGTTCAGCACTGCCTGGCAGGTTTGTCGACGTGTTACCAATCAGGAATTCGATCACTTGGGAAGAGCCCCACTTCTTAAATTTAGTCCGATGAAGCAAGACTACATAACTTTGCCAATAGCATCGTTAAAAAGCTTATAGTGGACATCCCTGTCTCACACCACTAAAGATATTAAAGGGCTGTGGCGGCTGACCATAACTCCTCACTGTGTTCGAGTTATGTGCTTAACTTGCTCAACGTACTTCCCAGGCACACATTTCCTGGTCAAGCAATCCCAATCCCGATATCACATTTACAAATTTTGTGCATATATCTGCTCTCGCACGAACACGCCTACATATTTGATTAGTGACATGCCACTATTCTTAAATATTTTTCAGCCTTTTCCTCATGCTTCATTCACCTGACCCACACTGCGTACGGGACTTCATCGGACTAGTTCCTCATCAACATACCATATTAGTGATCTGATTATTATCTCTACCTCTCACATTCTGTGGTCATAGACTTCATACAACCTTTGGGCTGCTAATTCTGCTATCATGTACAATATTGCAATATGCTGATCATGCCCAAAAGGCGTGTCTCGCTTTGTCGAGAATAAAATATTTATTTATTTATAATAGACACCTCGAACCATCGAATTGGTCTGTGAAGAAGGATAGAGGCACGTGACTTATAGACGGTGGAGATCCGACTGATTACTTTGTGACTGCACCTTCCGAGCATGAACCCCGATTCCTCGTTTAACTGCTAGTGGTGGTAATCAGACTCAAAGTATTAAGCGTTTTCCCAATCGTTTGTTCCCACATGAATGGCTCAGAACGTGCGAGTTGTGCACCTAACCGAATCCAGACGAAAACGCAGTTCATTAATTTCTCCTTGGTCATTGTTTACTCAAGCTGTACTCAGTGCTTGCGCTGCATGCTATAATAAACATTAACTTGACAAGTTCTCAATTTGTTGTTTTTATAGAGTAGCTTTGGTGAATGAATGGTGTTTCAAAGTTAAGAAATTCTCACTTAGTGGACACCTGCCATCAAGGATATTTAGTTTTAAAGAAATCACTCAAGTTTTTGCTTTTATTTAACCGTTTTCAATCTTATACACACATATTTTAGGTAAACGGTGTTGATGTTAGCCACATGTACCATGCGGAGGCTGTTGAAGTTCTGCGTAATGCGGGCCAAGTCCTCAACCTTGTTTTACGTCGTGTGCCCCGGCGGGTCTCTTCGGACTCCGGTGAATCGACAGTTCTGGGCGTCGGTCGCAAATGATGCCAAAATTCTCCTGATCGTCCTTTACTGTTTCTCGTCATCGTCTTCTTTCGTGCTACATATATTGTGTGCTACTCTCACACTAATGCTTATCAGACGTTTGCTTAGACGTACGAACTGGGATGTTTCTTTCGATTGTTACAGAATATTGAATGCATATTTCTCGATGAGTCTAGATGCAGCCCTCTTGACAAGATCTGATCCCGGCACATATAATTGAACTAATAATGCTTAAAAGATAAACGATTCACATCTTCGATAGAACTAAAGTTGGTGGACTACGGCCGTCGCAGTTGATAAAGCATACATAGCAGTAAAAACTTGCCATCATTGGATTCCTTTGGTGCAGTGGAACCGTTATGCAAGTTTCATTCCATACTGGTTGTGTATTCCAGGAACATTTCTGTTTAACGTGTGCACAAATAAAGGGGGGAGAAATGACTTTGATCAGCGAGGTGTTTATAAGTATGGTGATACTATATGCTGGAACCATCTACAACAGAATCAACAATCTGAAGGGTGACGAGAAGACCCATAATGTCTGGATGTTGGCTGCGATTCGATTATATATATATATATATATATATATATATATATATATTGTTTGTGCACCATAATACACGACGCTATTCGGACACATCCGAAGTAATTCACAGTCCGTGTGATGAGAAGGCAAAAATCTGAGGAACAGCAAACCTAAACTCGTCCCTTAACTGATTCAACCTCTGTGCATTGATCTGGCATTTAAGAAGTGAGCTCTAATCTGAGTTGGATATGAGGAAGCACCGAAAGTGTGAGTTGGCCAGATACATTGAAGCGAAATGCAGTCTGACTGCGGAATAAAAACAACGAACACTTATTTTATATGGGTTATGGAGCACTGCTTCACAACCTCCGCTGGGTAGTTTCGTAACGTTATGGAAAACAATAATTAAAAAAGCAGTTAGCGCTTTTACTGCCCCTAGAAGGGCTTATCGTTTGTAATGCCCTAATTCGGCACTCCGCGAAGTTTCGCGTCGCCAATAGACGGCGACTAATAGTTTCAAGCTATTCTTCAGGAGTGTGCCTGAGAGATAATACTAAGTAATGTAGGGTAAGTATCTGACTTCTTCCTTCAATCGTCTTTTAAGTATGAGTAGTGACGTTTCAGAAACGAATGGTACAAGAAGGGCGTTCAGTGAGAGACATTTATATGGCATTCCAGAAGGCAGCGTTGTTCTGCCAATTTCAAGGAGTTACCTCTCAAGTTTTGTTACTGCAGAGTTGCGGTAAAGAGCAGCACGCATGCTTCGGATTATGTAAAATTAAGTGGTCTAGTATTAGGTCGCCTCGTAATGGGCAACATCATCCGCTGAGATTGTGCATTCAAACGACATATTTGTTAGTTTGACTTTGATGTTGCCTTTCAGAGACCAGATTACAAGACTCTAGCGCCGTCATCAGAATGGCCTCTCCGGTAAACTCTGATGTCAAATGCTACTTGCGGCTTTCCAGAGACCCAGAAGCTGCCGCCACTGGTCAAGCTGGTGTTAAGGTTGTACTGAGTGCCAGGGCTGAATCAGCTCTGCTTGACTGGATCCCAGTCAACAGCCGGCTATGTGTAGTCAGACTAAGAGGTTCATGTAACGTATGCAGGCGTCGAGACGTTAAGCGTGCCTTGTTTGTCGTCTCCGCCTACAGACTGCAGCCCGGATGCAGTTAAAGATAGCTTTTATCAACAACTCCATGAACTTCTGCGTTCCTCCTAAAGGACTGATATAGTCATTCTTGCCGGGGACTTTGACGCACGGGTTGGCCGCCTTCCACCAAGCGAGCACCACCTTGGGGGTAGTTTTGGTCTCGGTGGCAGTCGATCAGACTATGGAAACAGACTGCTTGCTCTTTGCTCTGATCATCGCTTGTTACTTTCGAGCACTAGTTTTCGGCACTCGAGGAGACACACTGCTACTTGGCGCCCTCCCTCACAAACGCAAGAGTGCTCCCAGCTTGACCACATAGCAATCAGCTACAGGTGGCGCGGAAGCGTAACGGACTGCCGATCGTACTGGTCAACTTTTCTAGACTCCGATCACGCATTGGTTCGTGCTAAGATTTGCATGCGTTTCGGAGGATCACCTAAGCGCGCCCACTACCGACCGGACGTCGCAAATCTACAAAACCCTGCGATTTTAACCAGGTACCAAGCCTCACTTTCAACCTTGCTTGGCTCAACTATTGACGGTGATCTCGATTCGCAGTGGGCGCATATCAAAGATGCTTTAGTTTCTGCCAGTATCGACACTTGTGGAGTTGCCCGTTACCCACCGAAGCATTGGATTTCCGCCGACTCCTTGTCGCTGATGGACAGACGCCGCTTGCTCCCATCGGATTCCAGACGCAGTGAAGAACGCCAGTACCTTGGTCGAGAGTTGCGCAGGAGTCTGCAAATGGACCGCGAAGCTTGGTGGTGTGAACGTGCTAGAGAGATGGAGCTTGCTAGTCTCTGTGGTAATACCAGGAAACTCTTCCATCTCATTCGAGTCACCGAAGGTGTTCGATCTGGTATAAGTGAAGCAATATGCGAAGAGGATGGCACCTTAATCACCAATCTTCAACGACGGTTGTAGCGATGGGCCGAACATTTTGGCTCACAGTTTTGTTGGCCCCCAGCTCCATCTGCTATCTCTGGCGATCGCGCTGCGGCCGAGTGGTCTACCTCCACAGACTTTCCCTCTTCCCAGGAAATCGAGCAGGAGCTCCGGCACATAAAGCGTTATAAAGCCCCAGGCCCAGATGGTCTCCTTCCGGTTCTATTTAAAGATGGTGGCGCATCGCTGGTTCGAGAACTCACCGCTTTGTTCTCGAAAATCTGGTCGAAAGAGAAGGTTTCATCATTTTGGGGTGAATCGATAGTCGTCCACATCTTCAAAAAGGGCCTGCGCACAATCTGCTCTAACTACAGAGGAATAAGTGTAGTCCCCGTCTTTTGCAAGCTGTTGGTGTCCATCATACTTCGCAGGCTATCCCCAACACGCGAATCGTTGCAACGAGAAGAACAAGCTGGGTTTCGCCGTGGTCGCGGCTGCATCAATCAAATCTTCACACTGCGCCAGATCCTCGAGCTCCGCCATGTGTATCAGAGGCCAACGATTGCTGTGCTCCTGGATATCCGTGCAGCCTTCGATTCTGTCGATCGTACGGTACTGTGGCACTGCCTACTGAGGAATGGTGTCCCTGACAAGTTCGTCTCCGTACTGCGCGCTCTCTATAATCGGACCTCGGGCAGGGTTAGGGCTTATGGTAAGCTTTCGCCTACATTTGTGGTCTCCAGCGGAGTTCGACAAAGATGCCCTATCTCTCCGTTCCTATTCAACTTTGCCATTGAGGATGTCTTGAAAAACGCTCTAGGCAATTAGTTGAACGCTGGCGTTGAGCTCCTCCCAGGTAGTCGAGTTGTTGATTTGGATTATGCTGATGATATCGTCTTGCTGGGTGACGATCCACAGGTCGTCCAACTTGCATTAAACCGCTTGGCGATTGAAGCATCAAAGTACGGTATGTACTTTTCGCCATCCAAATGCAAGGCTCTCTTCCAAGACTGGCAAGTGCCTCTGCCTGCATTCACTCTTGCTGGTGAGACACTAGAGGTTGTGGAGAGCTTTGTCTACTTGGGAAGTTGCATCACTGCTGGCGGGGCTGTTGGAGACGAGAATTCGATGCGCATCTCGAGAGCAGGCCTCGCTTTTTCTAGGCTGAGGCATTTGTGGCGTCGTCACGACATTCATCTCTCCATCAAAGGGCGGGTCTATTGTGCAACTATTCGTGCTGTACTGTTGTACGGATGCGAGACCTGGTCCATTCGTAAAGATGACTTGCGCAGGCTATCCGTCTTCGAGTACCGCTGTCTGCGATCCATTGCCCGTGTGTGGTGGCAGCACCACGTAAGGAATTTGGAACTTAGACAGCGTGTCTTGGGACGTGGAAGCCACTCGCTCGAGGGGCTCATCTCACTGCATCAACTGCGGTGGTTGGGACATGTATTGCGCATGCCTGTCCAGCGTTACCCCCGTCGTGCGTTGTTTGCATTTGCTGGACAGGGCTGGAAGAGACGGTCTGGTGGACAGCCTACAACATGGAGAAACCACATGAAAAAGCTGACGAAACAGTTGGCCTCTGCCGGTTGTTGTCGACTACCTAACTGAGGTCCGAGAGATGCGGATACTTGCTGGTTGAAGACCTTGGAAGCCATGGCTCAAGATCGATGTCAATCGCGGAGGTGTGCATCGGTTTGTTGCGGTGTCCCTTCTTCCTCTCCCTAAAAAGAACAAACTGAAAAAATTTTCAAAAACTTTGAGTGGTAAAATAGACAAAAAAGCAGTACTTGTTGCTCTTATTATTCACATTGTTTTCCTATTCTGCCATGATTCCGATGGCACAATATGTGTACCGCAGATTGTGTAATAAATAAATATATATATATATATATTAGGGCAGTGAGATTGTGTTTTAGCCATGGCTGTCAGGCTTGAGTTGCGCATTGGACAATGAACCAACATACTCATTGAGCAAATGTCGAAAAACAGAGATATTTAGTTGTCCGAACCCCTGTCACAACAGCCCGATTGCTGGGTACCAGTTTTCTATGCCTTTTCGGATTGCCTGGAGCAGCCGCACGCACAAGCCAACTTCGACAGAAAGTCGCTGCAGTACTAGCGCCCCCAGGCTGTATGAGTAGATACACTGTGTCGTATGGAACGTTCCCTGCATTTGCTAACATTGAATTGCAGTAAATTGCGCGCTGATTGGCATTTATCGGAATCATGCGCCATACTTTAATATTGTCGCTAAGCAGCACAATGAACAACGAATAATTAGTTATCACGGGTGCTTGACAAGTCCTGTAGGATGGCTGAGGTGAAAACAGTAATATGGAAATATGAGTCGTCTGTTTAAACATCTATTGAACAACTGCGCTGCTGAATAAAGGTACTAGGGAATGAGAATTGAATATATGCATACAAGACAACTCGGTGACAGCTACAGTTGAAGTATTCTGTGTGAGAGAGAAAAGCAATTTGAAGCGAATACTTTTGCTTGGTCATTAGCAAATAGTAAATCAATCGTGGCCCTAGTACTGAGGCTTGAGGCACACCACACTCGATTTGTTTGGGGCCAGGTAACGTGCTGTAAACTCATCACTAACTGCCTTTGATGGAGAGTTGGCGATCCAACTCAAGAGAGGATCACCGTTTCCGTAATAATGAATCCGATGATCCAGACGATCGAATGCGTTAGAAAATTCCAGCTAGATCCTATCACCGTCCTCTCCAGCGTCAGCTGACTCGGTCCAATTACTCCTTGCCATCAGGAATATCGTTATGCACGATCGCTGTCGACAGAAACCGTGTTGCTCAGGAGCAATGGTTTCCAATTTTCCA